CAGACTTTTTCCGAACAGTGTTTTCGCGCGTCTCCAAATTCACCGCACCGCTCGTTCGAAGCGCTCTACCCCATGCTAGAGCAGCATTAGAGTCAGCAAAACCTCACTTGAAGCAAGCCGCTCAAAGTGTAGCCACCAGTGCTGCGGAAAAGGTGACTGAAAAGCTAGGGAAAATATTGGAGCCAGCTCAGCCTTCAGACGCAGCAGTAACCTCTACTGAAGCCCCTCAACTCGTGACTGTTAAACAGCAAACTGGTAGCGGAAGTAAACGCAAACGCCCTACTAAACATTCAAAAAGAGAAAAAACACGAAACGACGAAAGCACCGTACTAGTAACGGTTCTTTTGATAAGTATCCCGATATTTTCTAAAAAAAACTACAAAAATGCCTGAATATCTCCTACCACACTCAGAGCCGGCCATGTCTAGTGACATGAACCTGTTCTCCGTACCGGCATCGTTAACGGAACGTTTCAGCTATGAGACACAAGAGTATGGACCAGAGTCGGCGCCTCCGGAAGACTCACCATTAAGCGGTAACCTGTCTTTCTTTATCCCGCCGTCATCCAACGGTCTGCTCTCGCTCACGGATACGTGTTTTGAGTGTGAATTAAGTATAAAGAAAAAGAACGCCACAAATGCATGGGTGAACCTAGAGAACAATGATAACGTAGCGCCTGTTAATTATATTGTGCATAGTTTGTTCAAACAAATTCATTTTACTGTGGCGAACAAGGTGATCTCTGACTGTTCACCTTATTATCCCTATCGCGCTATAATGGAGGTTCTAACAAGTTATACTGAAGATGCCATGAAAAGCCAGCTAACGAGCGGCGGATTTTATTTCGACACACCAGGCAAGATGGAACATGCCACAGAGAACACTGGTGAAGCAAAGCGCAAGGAGCTATTTGCTTTAAGTGCTAGCGTTCAGTTATCGGGAAAGATTTTCACGGACTTATGCGTACAATCAAAACCTTTGCTCACAGGCGTGCCCGTGCACGTTAGCCTATACTTTAACAATTCAGAATTTTATTTACGATCATGGAATACTGGTGCGGCGGCTGCAACAGAATACAAGGCATTTATGAAACATCCACGCATAACCGTACGACGCTATATCCCATCACCGGATTTCATGAACGCTATTACACAAAAGTTACAAACAACAACAGCCAAATACCACATTGAACGCGCAGAATTAAAGGCGCGTGCTATTCCTGCTGGCACCCAAACCATAGCCTTTTCTGACCTCAAGTACGGCCAACTACCTAAGGTGGTATTTATTGCTTTTGTGCAATCGGACCGCTTCCATGGCACAACAAGCCTCAATCCGTTTGTATTTGATCATTGTCGCGTTCGTCAAATCTGTATTAATGTGGATGGGAAGCAATACCCAACGATACCCTACATGTGTGACTTTCCAAACAACCGCTATTTAAAGTGTTATGACGGCTTCTTGGATGTTTTGAATCAAAAAACCATCCAGCTGGAGCCCATATTCTGGATCGTCATACATACGCAAAAGGATACACAGTGTTCGCTTTTGACCTGACGCCAACGGCTACAGGCTTAGGGCCCATGACGCTAATTCGATCAGGGACAGTGGGCCTGGAAGTAACTTTGACACACCACTAACTAATGCCTATCAAATGCTGGCTTGGATAACGTGCGACCATTTAATAGAATTCACCAATTTACGCCAGGTTATTTGCGACTTTGCGTCGTAATTAAACAACAAATCGTCACAATGAACGAACAGGAAATTCGGAATATCATGTGGTCACAGTACAACCCCGCTTCGCACATGCTGAGATCGGTGTTTCGCGGCGTTTACGCCCTAGATGAGCTACAGCAGCAGCATCTTACAGAGGTCGACCTACCTGCTGCGTTTATTGTAAACACTGATCCAGCCAGCGAACCCGGAACACATTGGATTGCCGTCTACGTTGAGTGCCCCTCATTTATTGAAGTTTTCGATTCCTACGGCAAACCCGTGGCCTATTATAGTCAGTCACTTGAAAATTTTCTGAAAACGCAACTCATCGGCCAGCCTGCGTCATCACCACCGTTGCCCCTATACGAACAGCGAGCTGTTTTACAACAGCCATTGTCCACTACCTGCGCTCAACACTGCATGTTTTTTATAGTAATGCGATCAGTATGTCGCTTTTCCTATTCCTACATCATTCATAACCTATATCGAATTGATAATCAATTTCAAAACGACTTGATGGTTCGTAACTTTATTAATGACTTTTTCAATGCAAAAACACGTGTTTATAATTTTGAAGCATTCTACTAACAATTAAATTGCAATATTGCCTCGCAAAATCAAGGGAGGTGCGCGCACACACCTTTGGTTTTGCAGAGGCCTGCGTGGCAATTAAAATGACAAATCGACTTGGGGCCGCCAACGCGAATCAAAAATATTTACAAATAACATCAGTAATAAATGATTACGAATATACTGAAACTGATGATATAGCGATTAAAATTACCTAAACGAGCTAAGATGATTGCTTGAAAAACCAAACAGGCACACACCACACACATACACAGAAACATTCATACTAGTTCAGTTTGAACTGCTCCTTGAAACGCTGCAGCATTTCAGCACACAGTCGATCTCCGTGCATTACCAGAAATTCGTCCGGCTTGAAGTGGTACGCCTCCAGCAAGTTGCGTTCCGCATTATGATGCGAGTGCGCTGCTTCGTCAGCATAGCGGTACGGCAGTTGCTTGAGAAACAACCCCAGCAGACTCTTTTCCACATCCTTACAGACATAGCTTCGCATACGGTCCGTTAGTTGTATACGATCCGAGTAGCGGCATGCAGTATGGCCATCATGAGCTCCAGGTTGCAGCGGATCAGCAAAGGTATCCTCCATAAGGTGGCAAAGCTTGCATTCTTGCGTCAGGCGTTTGCAAAAGCGCTCCATCATAGGCCACGGTAGCTTCTCAAAAATATCCTGGTAGTCGGCTTGGCAGACTTGCATGGTAGGGTACCCGGATCGTCCCTTCAGCACCTCATACGTATGCTTAAGGATGGTTCCGTTGTCCAAAAGTTCACAGAACGCCGTCCAGTTCTTTTCACTACAATTGCAACAACCACAACAACCATAATAATAATATCAATAAGCTAAACGGTTATGAAATAACCAAAAAAATAAGTAAATTTGGGTATTAATTATGCTGCTATCACTAGAACACAACACTCACTTCATCGCAAGTCGTTTCTCACTGGGTGAGCCGATGACCACCTTTGTTCCCGGTTCTTTCAGGCTGTTTGCTTCAAGGTAAACCCGAATGTTGGCAATGGGTACTTCGTCAAGCCTGAGGAGAAGCAACCGCAGAAATATAATAATAATGTGCCATAGAAACAAAAGCACAAGGTTGTTATATGAATGACTTTCTTACCATCCCCAGTTAAAGAAGTAACCTCCGCCCAGGTCATGCATTGCCGTAATGGGTGTAGAGCCTTCGTCATAATTGATCAGTCTTTCCAGTTGTCCACACAGTTGTAAACCCATTAGTTTGGCAAACTGCTTCGCATCTAACTCGACATGCTTGGACGCTAAACTCGGAACCCACTGACCCTCCTGATTTTTATCAAACTCCCCAATAATGTATCGCAAACGGTTGTTCATCAAGTAAACTGCAATGAATTTTTCTCCTCCAAATTTAATTACCGGCCCACCTTCGTACTGAAATGCAACCTGCCCCTGGGTAAACCCACGCCGAGCTAAGCTAACTGCATCGGTTTTGGGCTTATACGAGTCCGCGGTGACCTTACGTTTCTTAGTACCAGTAATAGTTAATGCCCTAACAGGCTGAAGTGATGCCGGAATAGTCGACAACGATGGTGATGACGACAAGGCAGCCAAAAGGTCACTGTTATCACCTGATACACTATCTACGCTTCGCATTGCAGCCATTGCGGTGAAAATTTAAAAATACTCACAAATAACGGTAACACGCTACGATAACGCTTTAAACTCAAAGCAGACAAACAGAATAATGGACAACTAAATCAAAGTGGAGGCAGGAATACGCAAACTCTATGCACTAACATCAGAAACACGAGCCGACCTACTCATTTTATAGCCAACTAAATAGGTTAAAACAGCAGCATGTTTATTCTTGCTTTTGTTTTTAGTCATCGGGTGGACACCCTTTATACAATGCATCAGCTAAAGTACTAGCATTGTTTGCTTCCGTTATCTCGGGCATCGCCTCAAACTCACGTTGGTCAGACGAAAGTCCATAGAAAGCTCCATATAATGCGCCTGCCATGAACGTACGACCATCCGTGTCACCTCCAAGGGCAATGCAGCTCTGGACCATTCGCTTCCAAGGTGACATGATGTTATATCCAGACCACCACTGCAGGTTTCCACCCACGAATGCCATGACCATAGCCAGCGGAACAAAGTCCTGTGCGGCGCGCGAGTTAACATTCGGATACAGTCGGATAATGTCTGCCGGCGAACGCAGTACGCTATGGTTTACGTATAACGCATTGGCAGCTATCATGTTCTCTCCAAATGGTGGTTCGAGAGTTGAAGCATAATCCTCTAGCCGTTTCAAAAAGGTCGTCACTGAAGCTGTGCGGGCGCTATCACACGCTTCCTGTAAACCAAAGGCAAACAGCACAGCTCCATCAATCCCCAAACGATGCGCATGTGTGATGGCTACACACTTCTCGACTTCTCTCCGGAGGAAGCAACTAGGTTCGCGGCAGTAGTACAAAGCCACCGCTGCAGCCATCACTGCTCCGTGATACCCGTGAGAGCCCTGCCCACCGTGCGCACTTCTTGCAGGCCCACAAACGTAAGCTTCGTCATCTCGTCGAAGAGCAAAGTTGCTCTCGCTGCTTGTAGCATTCCATCGCCGATGAAACTCTTTCAATAAACGCTCCATGTGCTTACTACCCCCAAAGTAGTTGGATGATCCTAACGCTTTACCCAGTCCATCGGCTATATAGTCACGCTCGACTGTATAGCAACCTACAGTTACTTCGAGAACCACCAGAGCAACTGTTCCACTAAACCCACAACGCACATAACAAGGATCCTTGGCCACATCAGCACACCGCTCATGAACTTCTCTCAAGGTTGGTAAATGGCTTCTGTAGAAGGGTGTATTGAACAGACGACCAAAGCTGCTGGCAACAACACTCCCCACGAGGCAACCTTTTAACCTATCGTGCAATCCACCTTGCCAGTCACCTTGCCAGATAATGTGCTGAATGGCATCCATTGTTCCGGGCGATGGTGGTGGCGATGTCGATGTTGATGATAAACGAACATTTTCGGGTTCACATCCAGACATGTTCTATCGACTACTATATAAACTGCAGCAAAACTGACAAAACTTCAGTTGCACGTTTCGTTTTCCCTAACTGTTTCTTAGCTGTCTAAATTGCGTCCGTTTATATATCCTGCATTACCATGGACCCTGCTGAGGAAAGGCGTCGAGCGATATGCGTTGTCATTACGATTGCTTTTTTTGGTAGTCTGCTAGCACTTGTTCTGATTTTATCGGGCATTACTTTTGGAACCGTCACCACTTTTCTACCCTATCGGCCATCAGCCGCCGCCAGTATCGACGAAGCCAACACCACCCTGGACTTTACTTTCAATAACGACACAATGCCAACATTCAAGTTCATGATCAAAGGGCTATGGTACGTAACCGTATGGCACAGTAGTAAAGTCATCTAAGATGCGTCGTTTGTCGTACGTCTTTTTGAACCGCTTTGTCATAGGCACATCTTGGATTTCATATGTCCGTTTCTTCCGGCGAATAGTACTACCATATGTGACGGAAAGGGACTCGGGCTGAACGTTACCATGAGCGCTATCGGAGGCGGTCTCATCTTGGAGAGGTTGGGTTGCGATTTTCAACATCGAATCAAAATTCAACACCGTTCCTGTAAGTTTATTAATTTCAAATCCTTTGATTTTACAGACCTCCTGCCCAGATGCCGTAACGTAGCTGTAAGATTTTGGACCAGTACTACAGAAGCGCGTAATGAAGTCGTCCTCGGCCAGCTCATTACTTAACATCCCCAGAGTGGACCCGGTTTCAAACGGCTCATCACCTGGACGCTGAACAAAGATAATGCTGTCCTACAATTTAAAAACTATGTTTTTTCTCGTTTCTTCTAGTTTCATATGCTTTACGCTAATGCTTTAGCTCTTACCGTATCAAAGTATAGTAATCGCTCGCCAGCTCTTTGCATGAATTTCAATAAATGTAATCTTGCGTGTGCCGTTGTAAACCTGACAGCAAAAAATAAGTACAAGTCTAATTTACCTGATTTAAATGAAGCACTAAAACTGAAACTATTATCACTTACGCTGCTAGAACCACGTTCGTTTTCGGGTTAGTCGGAACCATAGCATCCTTCCTCGTGTACATTATTTGTACAACGTCATCCGAAAATACGTCATAATCATGGATTTCGAATTCTGAAGACGTTAAATAGTGCAGAAAATCCTTCACAGTGTTCACGAAAACTGTGCTGAGAAGGTTATTTCTCATTCCCAGCCGGCCCCAAAAGCTGTAAACACCATAGCATAAATTACTAATACTACAACTACTCTTAGTGTATGACCGACACCAAACAAACAAAAAAAATCAAGCACTAACCTGTTCAGGCACAACTTAGCGAGCTGCCGCAGTCCCGGATTCCAGCTTATTTTGGAACCGTCCAACCGGATGCCTTCCGTTTGGAAAAAGTGGTCCAGAAACGCATCTTGCTGCTCTGGAGTTTTAATATCAGCCGGCCAGCCAGAAGCTTGCACTTTAAGCGCCAGGAACAAATCAATATAATCAGCAAAAAAGCGCTCTCTGCTGTCGGGATAGTGCCATACTTCGTGAATTTCCATTAGTTCATAACCATTTTTCACGGCTTCTTGTAGTTCTAGTGTGCACCAAGTCCCCGTCAGAGCTCTTTGCTCCGGATCCTCGTGCGTGCAAACTTGCTGATTCTTTTCTTCAGCGCAGGTGCGGCATAACGTGAAAATCAGTTTATCGAAATGCGCCGGTAATATCGGTATCATCAGGTTGCGAGGCGGTAATATTTTGCAATGCATAATTCCGAAATAGTTATCCAAGGTTTTAAAATTATTAGTAATTCTTTTATGCTTGCCAACCGGATAGCGCTTGTTTTTATTGACATATGGATATTCGGATACAACATCCAAGTACATTATCTTCTCTCCAGGCTTGACCTTATAGTCTAACACTAGGGCATTTACTCGTCCTCCGAACAATGCTTTTCTCGGGTCAAGCGGTTCAACAATCCGTATGTTCTTTATAGCAGTAGCAAAATTAGCGTCGTTTTTAATGCGACTGTCATATTCACATTCCCAAACGCTCACAATATTGATTTTAAGCTTTTTCAACATTCCTTCGCGCCGTACGGTTCGCTCGTACAACTCACCCATTGTGGCGTCCTGATGCGGGTGGCGTGTACTTGGATTCGTGCATATTGGATGGCCATGGTGCACGCACCCATAAAATTCATATGCAGTTCGACTTTCCAGATGGTACCCATCAATGAATAATGCACCAATTTTGAATTCTCGCTCCAGTTCAATACCTTGGCTCTGACTTATACACTGTAACCATGAATTGGCTTTATTGGAGGATATTCTGTTGCTGGGCATACGAATAACCTCAACTTCCAAAGGCTTTAGCAGCCTGGACCTCCAAAAATAATGACAAACACTTGGAAGGGTTAAACCGGATTGAAAAATACATAGTCCATCCGTAATTTTGAAAAAAGTTCGCGCAGCTGCATTGCACAACAACGTAGCGTGGTCACGTCTTGGTGGCAATAGGCAGCCAGTTCCTTGTTGACGTCATACAATCCTCTTTTAAAGCTTTGTCTTCATTATAGAATTCCATAAATGCATGTTTTTCTTTATCGCTCATAAATCGGTAGTTGAACTTTTCAATGTCCGGATAGTCAATAACTGTGTTCCAAAATTGTGGTCGGTTCAGGACATGTGGAAATTTACCTTTAGTTTCCTCAACGGCGAATGATTTCGCCCAGTTGTCCAATGACAAAGGAACATAATTGAGCGTATCCCGAAAGTTAATGCCAAACTCCCGATCGCGCAGGTGCGTGATTTGGGAACCTTTCATGATAACGTCAGGCGCTTGACCTTTCTGAAGCAGCCATTTTAAAATAAAATAGCCATCGAACCTAGAAAGCCCACCACTTTATCCGTAAGCTGTATACTTTCAACGTATTTCATGTTGTGTGAAACAGAAGAAGAACTAAAATTTCTTACCCTCTAAAGTTATGTGCCAAACAAAAGAATCCAGCATGCTTTTCTTGGAAAATAAATTCACAGACATCGCCTGCAATGTCTTTGCCAATGTTGCTGATGTCCTCGGGAAATTGGCGGGTTTCAATGGGCTTTCCATCTTCTTGCACTTGTATTACACAAAAATTTGGGATGTGCTTTCCATTACCGTCGGGGTACGTCTCGAAATCAAAGTACATGAAACTAGCAGATTTGTGCTTGGCTAATACTTTGTCGTCAAGTTTCTCGGGTTTAATATAGCAGTCATGGTGCTCCGGTAATACATAACACAGGCAAACCGAACAATAAATTTCGCCGCATACATGGTCTGTCCCGTATCCTCGTTTCACGTTCGTCTTTATGAATGCTGAGCAATCTATGCAGACCTTGAATTTTTCGCAAATGCTTTTCTTTTTGTTATGGTTTGTGCTTTTCGCTGTCTTTGCAAGGTGGTGGTTAAAACACTCGTTGTTTCTAAAGCCCGTTCGATTGCATCCCGCACAGTATCGCGCAAAGTTTGCTTCGAGCTCACACCTTTCGCGCAAGCAAAGCTTGCAGGTATATTTACAGCGATGATCACCTTCGTGAGAGTACCCCTGATTACAATGAAAACACCATTTGCTTTTTTCGTACCACCCTTGAAGAGATGTTAAAACGTCAAAATGGTTGGCATAATACAATAGCATTAAGCGTTTTTCCCTGAATTCGCCAGCAAAGATAATGCTGTTAAGCTGTTCCAGTCCAACAATTATGATTTGATAATCGCTTAGTAACTTTTGAAAAGTCTCTACGTCGTCCAGGCTGTAGCGCCGCTCCGTCAGGCCTGCAGCTATTACCAGCTGTTTCGCCAATAATGTCTGCTGATCCTTATGCTGCTTTTCTGGGTGCTTATGTGCCCTGGTGTCACGTAGCGTTGAATACAGCTGCAGATCGTCATCTGCTAAGGCTTTAGCCGTTACTAGGGACCGTGGTAAACATAAATTATCGTCGTTCTTTATGCGCACGATAGACATCTTGTTTTTCAGTAGCCTTTTAACGCTTTCAGGAATCACTAGATTGTCATTACCTCCACCATCCGGCGTTTCTGTGTACTGGACTTCAATCCTGAAGCTTTCATCCAAGCGAAAGCTTGTTGAACTTTGCATCACCCGTTCCACGCGCGCCATGATACGATCCACAGTTAGTTCGTCCCGCCGCATTAACGGTGTCCAAATAGGAATCTTCTTTCGCAAATGATCGCTGTATAATTGCACGCGTACCATATACCAAGGCTGAATTTTGTCTACCAAAATTCTGTTAAGCAGTTCTTCAAAAATGCTTTCTATTACTCCACAGAGGCGTGAAAACGGAACATCAAACAACTCGGGCGCGATGCGGCACTGAAAAACCGCAAGTGCAGTTTTCCATTTCTGAGAATAAGTATCTGCTACCTGCTCAAGTAGCAGATTATCTTCTGAAATGCTAGGGATGCTACCTAAGCCATCTTCTTCTTCTTCTTCTTCGTGGTTGTCAGAATGCTCATCCATTTTTCGCTCAATAAACACAACTTGTAATGTGTACACAGCTAATGAACTCAAGAGACTCCTTCGAATTATGATTACCCTGCTGAATGACGTTCACGGCTTTATATACTTGTTATTCTTATTAAAATCGGTCAAGTTCTAACACGCCTTATCGACTAACAGCAAATCGTAAACAAGGGCTACCCACCACCCGCGAAAAAAAAAAGAAGAAAGCTAACAGAAGTCAAAGTTTGTGACCAAAGATTACAAAGCATAATCAAGCATACGTAAACTAGTTCCTTTGCCAAAACAAGATTTTGCGTCTATCAACAACCTTTGATGTGCCTGGTGACACAATTTACAGAAACAGTTAATCATACGTGGAAAAGCCATACCGCGTGCAGCTAGTAGTAAACGTAACATATAGTACCGAAATTCGTTGAGGTAGCCAATGTTCATATCGTCTCCACAAATACGCACTGCACTGTAGATTGAGAACGCGTCGTTGGATGTCACTTTGCGCATGATGCTCTCCACTGCATCGATCCCGCGGCAGTCCAGGCGTGTTAACCAGTACTCGCAGATTGTCCGCCAAACCGTACGTAGATGAGGCGTAGTCCTCAGATGGGGGAGTGGATCCTTGGAGGTCAGATGGAAAGTGTCCAGCAATTCCTCGGCGACATGGATGACATGGTGAGGCTGGTTTGCTCCACGAGCGAACAAAGCATTAAGCTTAAGATATCTACAACGTACAGAGCGATTAGTACAACGCAGCACGACTCTATGACTAAAGCTTAAAAGAATGATACATACGATTTCTCCGTTCTCATCCACCCGCACTCAAGGTACGACATGTCCGAGTGCACATATCCAGGAATAAGATGGCGGAATCCGTAGACATAGACGTCCTCCAACTCCAGCGTGTTTATCCATTCCACGGTCTCCAGAATCGCCCTAACACTCATGAAACCTCCCCTAACGGTGATATGGCGCAGCTCCGGTGCAACGTCCTGCAGAACCAGCAGTACCGTGCAGAAATGGTCGTGCATATGATTGATGTAGGCCCCGTTGCTTTCCCTCATGTCAAAGGTGATGCATTTCGTGCGGTTGGACACTACGCAAAACAGCTTCTTGCTAAAATTTCGAACTTCACAGTACAACCTGTCACACGGAGGATGGATGCCTTCATTGGTGTAGTTATCCACATCCGAAGCTTTGAAGATGACCTCGGGTTTGGAAGCTCGGGCAGCTATTTCTTCTTCTGCGTAGAAGTTGAACGCCGATGAAACCCGCTTCAGATGATATAAGTCAATGGGGGTCATCAAGGAAACGATGTACTTCATCGTGTCCTGCTGGTAAAATGGAAGCCCGCATCCATCCGGTTCGGTGTACTGTCGCAACCAGTTCCTGGTGGGTGTTGCCGACGTCCAGATGTCCCTGGCGCCTTGCGCTTCAAGACTGTCCGCTGCATTGCCGGCATACACCGTCTCCACGCCATCCCTCCATGTGCACATCGCACAACCAAGGTCGCCTGGTTCTCCGGCTGAATTGGGTCGCTTCCGGGGGGACGTGGCGTACCACTTCAGTACATCCTCCAACTGGTGATCGAAGCAGTGGGGAAAGCGGTTGGAAACTCTTGGGAGTTGGAAATCCTTGAACACCTCCTTCGGCACCGGTTGACATTCGGGACACGCCTCCGTAACAATCTGCGCTTCTTCGTCGCTGTCATGAACACACTTGCAATATTTACAAGGAGAACCTTCTAGTTGAATGCTACGCTTCATTGTAGTGACTTAATAAGCGAACGACTTACAAAAACTGGAAATGAGACGTTCGTGCGTTGCGTCGAGTGCTTTTATATACCTAGCTGTATAGCATTGCTAGCTTGCACTTGATTGGCTTGATACGGTATTGATTGTTAATTTTTTTTCTTCCCAGGGCTCTTCCCTTCATTATATTTACGTAGATATCTTGATTAAACGGACTACAATTACTTGGCATAACAGTTAGAACATTAGTCCAGAGTTTATTAGTCTGATGGCATCAGTATCATGCGGCTAGTATGTGGACTTTAATGTGTTATATCATGGTTTTCGCCACAACAATTATGCTACTAGACATCTAGCATACCAATCAATCCGTTTTCATAACCGTTGCTCCATTGATTCATTCTCTTAATTGTTTCCATCAAGGCTTCCTTGTACTCCGTGACCTTGTCAGCCTTGAACCCTGTTTCATGGAGTTCGATGAATTTCTGCATGACCTCGCGTCTTGGGTTCTTGCTTCCCTTCTTAAACAACCCAGGACGCAGCGTCTTGCGTAATTTCCTTTAACCTTGTCCGTTTGACTCATCAATCGCGCAAACATTGATTGCACTGGTGCTTGGCACAACGCTTGTGTTGTCATTTTCCTGAAGGATTTCAGATGGCGTTGCATCAGCTGCAAACAATGCGAACATAACAAATAATTAGTCCCAACGAGCTCATCATTGCAAAAGGTTACTTAACCGGGACGTACTTTGCCCAGTTCTTTGTCGTCCAAATCGGAATCCATATTAAAAGTGTCTGGCTGGAATATATCAAGGATGTCCACCTTCTTCTTTTTCTTCGCCGGTTTCTGTCCTGCCTTCCGGATCAACGGATCCGGTTCTCGTTCCACTGACCGACGGTACAGCTCTCGGTGTTCCGTTCGCTTACGCAGGACAGTGAGCAACAAGTCTCTTGACTTCTTCGGCTTCGTGGTTTGCGCTAGGGCTCTGGACGCCGCTTCCCTTAATTCATTCAGCCCTAGCTGGACTTCACGGAGTTCACGGGTGCATTCATCAATGGACTGTAGCACAGTGCGATGTACGGCGGCAGCTGCTTCTTCTACATGGCGATTCTCTTTAAACAGCGCAACCTGTACAGAACAAATGCATTTTGTTATCCATTGCGGTACAATACAGACCAATGTATTGTTCCTGATCGTATAGAAAATCGTACCGCTTTCTCGTACAGATACTGCTTAGCCTCTTCATCCAGTTTTTTAATCTTTTTCATCAGCTTTCTCCTCGTGGTCTGGGCATTGTCTTTACCGGCATGATAGAGCGTCTTCCACTCAGCCTTCACCTAGAAGACAACAATAATAGATGAGAAAATAAGCATGCCTGTATGCATAGGTAAATAATTTTATTCCTAATACGTCAGGTAAAAAATTTGCGTACCCATATGAGCAGCTTAATAATTTTTCGTACCAGGTAGTCCGTTGAAAAATTTGCGTGCCAATATAAGCAGCGTAATAATTTTTAGTACCAATTAGTCCGCTAAAAAATTTGCGTACGGGTATGCGCAGCTTAATAATTTTTAGTACCAGTTAGTCCGTTGAAAAATTTGCGTACCAATATAAGCAGCTGAATAATTTTTAGTACCAGTTACTCCGTTGAAAAATTTACGGGTCAACATAAGCAGCGTAATAATTTTTAGTACCAATTAGTCCGCTGAAAAATTTGCGTACGGGTATGCGCAGCTTAATAATTTTCAGTACCAGTTAGTCCGTTGAAAAATTTGCGTGCCAGTATAAGCAGCGTAATAATTTTTAGTACCAGGTACTCCGTTGAAAAATTTACGGGTCAACATAAGCAGCGTAATAATTTTCAGTACCAATTAGTCCGCTGAAAAATTTGCGTACGGGTATGCGCAGCTTAATAATTTTTAGTACCAGTTAGTCCGTTGAAAAATTTGCGTACCAGTATAAGCAGCTGAATAATTTTAGTACCAGTACCGTTGAAAAATTTACGTCAACATAAGCAGCGTAATAATTTTTAGTACCAGTTAGTCCGCTGAAAAATTTGCGTACGGGTATGCGCAGCTTAATAATTTTAGTACCAGTTAGTCCGTTGAAAAATTTGCATGCCAGTATAAGCAGCTGATTAATTTTATCCTCAATTAGTCCGCTGAAAAATTTACGGGTCAACATAAGCAGCGTAATAATTTCTAGTACCAATTAGTCCGCTGAAAAATTTACATACCGGTATAAACCGTTCAAAATTTTTATACCCGGTCGACCCGCTGAAAAATTTGCGTACTAGTACGCACAGCTGAAAAATTTACATACCGGTATAAGCTGTTCAAAAATTTTTATACCCGGTTGACCCGCTGAAATATTTGCGTACTAGTACGCACAGCTGAAAAATCTACATACCCGCATAAGCTGTTCAAAAATTTTTATACCCGGTTGACCCGCTGAAAAATTTGCGTACTAGTACGCACAGCTTAAAAATTTACATACCAGTATGTACGCTTCAATAATTTTTATACCCTGTCAGTCCGCTGCAAAATGTACCCATTAATATAAGCAGGTAAAATTTTAACGTATCGTTATCACGCTAAAATTTCCATCCTCATATGTTGGTTAAATTGAATTAGAATTGTCCAGTTACTCAGCTACAATTTACCGCAGGAACAGCAGCGCATAGTTGTACATACAACAATGTTATGGTAAAACATTACAGTATATACATAATGATAATGCATTAACGATGCAAGCATACAGCATACATAACTTACTGATATTTTATTCATACAACTATAGTACACAGCATAACAACAATTATTCAAGAGAGTACAGTGATTGCACTACAGTAATAATTAAAATGTTATCTCACCTCGTTTTGCGACATCTCTGTGTATGGCAAGCAGGAGTTCTATACGCGGGAACGGATGCTGGGTGTCCAGTGCGGTTTCCAGATTGACAGCCGAATGAATGCGTGGGTTCCTGTGCGCTACATGTGTATAATTACTGTGTGCGTGCTTGATGGAGTACCACAAGCACACACAGTACACGATCTGCCACGCTCAAATACAGAAAAAAGTGGTACGGGATCAAAGTCCCTTACCACGCCAGACAGTCATGCTGCGAGCACATTTTCTGACAGAGCGACATTTGTTTTGGTTTTTGTTAATGTGCTCGGCGGCCCTGCTCGCAAATCTGAAGGATATTATTGCTTTCAGTACACACAGTTTGAGTAGCGGACATACCATCGGAACATACTGATTTTACGCTATTATTAACAGACATTGCCAGTCTGTTCGCCAAATTTCGTTTTGATGCATGAAGGGAACTTGTGCCCGTTTTGAATCGCTTCACGGCAGCGGTGATACTACCAGCAGGTGATATCGAATCGCTTCACGGCAGCGGTGCTACTTCCAGCAGGTAATTTCTATGTATTTATCTATAATTTAAGCGATTTTTTTCTGATTATCAGTGATTTTTTCTGATTTTTTAAATTTATTTTTAAAAAAACGGGACGTCATCCCGGGACGCTCTTATCAGCGTCCCACATCTAAAAGCCGGTCGAGACAGGCATATTACTACTGTTATGTATGCAGATAAACCTCCGTAATTTCTATGCAAAATGTGGATTATCCTTCGTACAAGTGTACTCGTAAATCTATTCTGGTGTGCACAGGTCACAGTCTGTATGTCTATATGTAACTGGAGAATCTCGGAAATAAATTGTAATACAGCCGTTATGCACGCCAATGAGCTATATATTGAAAATGCTTACGTGGAATTGGAGTATTTCTGCGATCGACAACAGCGGCGCAGTGTTATTGGCACTGACGTATACAATCACCATTTAGTAATCTGGGATGCAACAAAAATGGAATCCCGATTAGTTTTACCGCTGGCACAGGGCAATATCCAGGAAAATTATTTGGTTTTGAGTCATGCAAATTTTACGGAAGGAATTTACGATTATAAGGCAATAAAGCTTTGTCCTTTTGATTTGAAAAGAGAAAATCGCGTCGCAGACGATTCTTGTGATCAATGGATGCCGGCCGAGAGTTTTTTAGGTAAACTATTGCAATATTTTCATATAATACACAACATAATAAAAACATAATAAAACACTAAAAACATTTAAATTAATTGCAAAACTCTATGAAAAAAATCGACTAACAACGGATCAAAAGAGTTTCGAAAAAAATTTATCTAAATACAGTTATACAAAAATTGTAATTTTTTAAGGTTCCGTGGCGCTTTATAAGAATGCTTACTTCCCGCCAGTTGGTCAAAAAAGCCTACACAGACCATTTCCGGCTGCAGCTTTTTTCCAACAGCCTAAACTTTTGGAAAACATACCATTCTACTGTGGCATGTGCCCGAGAACGTCCAGTGTTTTCAAGGAAGTTACCTGGAAGCTTTATGATAGAACCATGTCACGGTTTGTTGATTCGAAAAATAAATCAGTTTTCCAATATGGTATTCCTACACCTGGTTCTTCCAATCTTCTGTTTGAAAAAGAGCTCACCTGCGAAGCCCCAAATGTTGTTGGTAACGAGCAAGAAATCCCCGAAGGCTGTTATGATATGGCAGGCGGGCGAGGGAAATCAAAAGCAAAAGATAACACTGAACAAACTTCGAAAAAACAGAAAACAATTACATCCTATTTTTTCCTTGGCAATCCACAAGGTGAAAGTTTACCAGAAAATTCTGAAAGCAACGATCCAACAACACCGAAACCATTGTTCGTCAACGATTCAGCGAACACATTGAACGAAGACCATCCAGCAGAGTGTATTCCAGTGGAGGTCGATGTATCACGCCCACCAGGATGCGACAATATGGAACCCGAACAGCGTACTGAAGGTGAAGTTGATATAGCTGACTGGCAGAACAGAGATTTGCGAGACATACCTTCCGACGTTCTGTTAGAAATTTTAGATGACTATCCAATACCGCCAGAAAACTATACTTTTGAACCTCAGTGTTACGGCCAAAGCAATATTACGGGACGACCGTTACTTAGGAAATTCAGCCGAAAGTATTTGTTGGAGCACAAATGGCTGGCTTGGTCAAAAAAAAATAAGGGCCCAATATGCAAAATCTGTCCTTTTTTTCACGGCGAGATATCGGCTGCTCAAAAAGAACGTACCGACTGGCAGCTTGTCAGCCGGACATTAACAAACTTCCGTGAAATAGGCGAACGGTTACGCCAGCATTCCAGATCGTCCATCCATAATGCTGCCGTGGCGAACGCTGCTGCCTGGAGACTGTAAGCTTGAGAAACATAAAAACTTAATTTTTTTTAAAAAATGAAATTTTTTTGTATTATGTACTTTTTCTTTAGAAAGCATGATCCAAATTATACTGATAACGAAACCAGCCGAGTCGATAACATGCCCATACAGAAACGAATACGCGCCAGAATTGAAGGTGGCTTGGCAAGTTTTGTCAAAGCTATCTACTTGTGCGGTTTAATGGAAAAGCCGTTACGCGGATCGGAATTTAGAACATTACAGCCCAGCAACAACGTTTACGATCTGCCAAATCCAAGAGAAGGGCTTTTTAATGCCTTTCTGTACGCGTTTTTGGACTCCGGTGACAACGCCCTTCGAGATCATTTAGAGATGTCACCGGTGATTTTTGGTAGCGCTACCCACCAAAATGTTTTTATCGATCTTATTCGAGAAAATATTCAAGCACGAATACTGAATGACGTAAGGGAAAGCCGGTTTTTTTCCGTGCTCGCAGACGGGACCACCGATGTAGCAAGAATTGATCAACTGGCCCTCGTATTGCGATACATCAACAAAAACAATATAATTGTTGAGGAATTTCTTGAGTACGTCTCAATCAGCAATGACACCTCTGGTGAGAGTTACAGTAACATTTTAAATTAATAGTTATTTGCATGAGGATAATACTCTGACATTTTTAGGGCAGGGAATAAGCAACATCATATTGGAACGTTTACGATTTTGGAATTTAAAAATCGAAGGTCTTCGGGGGCAGGGTTATGATGGAGCGGCCAACATGGCTGGTTGGATGAGAGGTGCCCATGCAATTATCCAGCGAGAATATCCACTAGCAATGTATGTGCATTGCTGGGCACATAGCCTCAATTTAGCCCTTCTTACCAGTTGTAAAAATATATTAATACGAAATCATCTTATGCTACTAAACGAGCTTTCCAATTATTTTGGATCGGCCAAGCGTGCGGATGCCCTTAAAAAAGAAGCAGTTAGGCTGAAGACGAAAGGACGGACTGTGCTTAAAGTGTGCGAAACGAGATGGACAAATTACGCTATGAACACTAACCGGATGCTATGCATGTTTCCCGCCTTAATCGAAGCACTGAAAACCTTAGCTAAGGACAACAATGTCGCGAGCAAGAGAGGAGCCGAGAATCTGCTCAAACAACTTTTAAATTTTGAGCATATACTCTCCGCGTTCGTAAGTTTTAAGAAAAATTTTAAAAACCAGCAAATCTAGATTCAGCATCTTAACTTTTTAGGTAGCTCATGAAGTGCTAGGGAAAACCAAAAGACTGAGCGAGTCCCTGCAAACGAAAAATAACTACGATTACGCTATGGCCATGCGTAATGTGCGGGCGGTTAGAGATTCAGTCGCTAGACTGCAGCAGTATACCGACGAACGCAATGAATTTTTGCGAGGCGCATGGAATCGTACAGTTGATTTATTGTCCAATCACAACGTCAACCCGAGCATACCAAGGCTTTCAAAAGCAAAAATGGCATCTTTGAATCTAACAAAGCCAGATCCATTTGATTATTACGAAAGAGTCCTTGCGGCTCCTTTTATCAATTCTGTTGTTTCGGCTCTTGATGACCGGTTCGGCAAAAGGTCACCCATTTTGGCAAAGTTGTCTTCTCTTATCCCTTCGGTTCTTGTAGCCGAAAACCTCACACAGCCGACTGCTGGAGATTTTGACACGGTACTTGACTTCTACGCCAGCGATTTACCAAATCGAAATTCTTTCCGGACAGAATTTCAGATTTGGGTGCAAACTTGGCGAAATTTTCGTCGTCTCTACCCGAAAAAGCCACTTCCATCATCCGTGAGCGATGCTCTTAAAAATTGCCCTGATTCGTTATTCCCAAGTATTAGAATACTTCTTGAAATTTTCGGCACAATACCGGTCACAGTTGCAACAAACGAGCGCGTCTTTTCCGCTATGAAACGGATAAAGACAGAGCACAGGTCGACAATGGGCACCAACCGTTTAACTGGTCTAACACTGATGTCTACAAGTAGGGATCGCCAGATTGTTCCAGCAGATATTGTTTCTGAATTTTTTCGACGGTACCCCCATAAAAGGTATCCTGTTCCCAACAAAAAATCCTGTCCTCCGCGGCGTTTTCGCAATCGCGCAGACAAATTTGGAGCAATTGACATGTCTGCGGACGTAGAAATATTCAGTGAAATTGTTGATTTTAATGACACCGATGTAGCAGTCGACTATGTTGATGCCGATTTAGCAGACGAGGCCGACGAAGATTACATACTGCAGGCCGTGACAGCAGATATTGGCCCAGCGCCAGCTCAAAATGTAGTGGACGGCTTTGCGGAAAGTTTACCACCATTCCCTCTTGCGGGCCACAATGCGGAGCCGGCAGAAAGCAATAACAATCTTGCAAGGATTATTGACTTTTACGGCCGCAGCCCCGTTCCTGGACAGCTAAGTGAATGGTTGCGCGCAGTTGGTACCACCGTCATTAACTCAATTACAACCGGACAAATCGACTCTTGGTCTTGCGGGAATAAATTGCTGCTGAAGTGGTTAGCTTCCTCCGAAATGCGGGAACACCCATTGATTTAATTACGGACGCCGAGCTTGCCCAAGCAAACACAAGAGTTGCAGTTGCAATTGGTCGAGGTGTATTGGGCGAGTTACCTGATAGCCGACGATGGGTTGACTCAGTGGACATTGGTAACCTCTTAGGCTATCGTTTGCAACTAAATTTTAGCCAAACACATCGACTGGTTGCTGTCAGCAGCGTACAGCATTTTATTCAGTCGGTTTACCCGCAGCACGCGGTTCAACTGCGTGAGAACGGCGGAACTCGGTATTATATACTGAATACAGACTCAACTGGACGAGGATTTCACTGGTTTGTTGTAGCCATAACATACGGTGCAAACGAGCGGGATGCGCCTAGAACATCACAGCGGAGGGAGCTGAAAGAACTTGAGAGTCGGTTTACTTTTATCGAAAAGCAACTTGGAATACCGGTTGACAGTGATACAAGTGGACTTTCAACAACAGTAGTTATTTCTATAGTCGGTCTTGTTTTATTAATCGCCGTGTTCACGCTGGCTTGGTCTAGGCGACACCTAAGAGGGTATGGCCGAATCCCGACGCTTGGCCAAATTGAGTACCTTACATAACAATCATGATAACTTTGGAAGTTGATAAGCATTTAGCTGAAATGAATATTGTATAATGTATTGCTTTCATTCTATAAGTCGAGAAATACTTCTTATAGGTCACAGGTGGTTGCTGTCCAAAAATCCATAATATGATAATACACTGATTTAAAAGGATATTGTTATAATAAATGTTGTGTTATCTGACGACTCTGACGGTACTTATGTATGAGGTCTCTGTTATCTAATTTCTTATAAATTTCTAGCACTAGCCTGAAAAGTTTCGAATGACATGAGGTGCTGGGGCGCCGGGCGGTGACATGTAACATCACTGCGCTTTGAATTTTTTTATTAATAAGAGAAATTCTTAAGCATAACCGGTAGATTTGAAATTTTTCTCGGGTAAACCTCGCCTCAAAAAATCAATATTCTTATCAATTTAAAAGTTGTCATTTGACACCCCTGTCAAATTACTTTGGCTTCGGAAAACCGTTTGCCCCCCGTCAATTTTTTTGATTTTTTATATTGAGTTTGCCCCCCTGTCAAAATTTGACACCCCCATTTTGCCAGACCTGTGACGCCCCTGCTCATAACCGTTTCTTTCAACAGCCAGGTAGCCTTCCGTACATATTTAAAACTGAGGACCCACATGAACATCACCAAATGCACCTTCTTATGCGGCTTTACCAGGCAGCTCTTGCAAAATAATTTGTAAAAGAATGGTTTAACGGTTTGATCAAACAATGTTAAACAAATTTAAATGTACGGAAGGAGCACAAACAGTTTTGTCATTACTATCGGAAAGATCTTCACGGTGCTGGATCCTTTTCTGGCACCGCGAAACTAGTAATCATCTTGCTTATCTTCTGTATGCTTCAATAACTCGGTATCGAAGGATTCCTCGCCAGAATAGAAGATAACGACATCAGATTTCCGTGGTTCAATGCCTGTTTGCTGACGCTTATTCCCCACTAAATAGTTATCCCACATGAATCGCAATACACTTGAACTGGATGAGGGAAATATGCAGTCTTCTTAGGTGTCTGAGGTATGACAATTGAAACTAAAACGTGAGTAGTCTTCCACATCAGAAAGCTCTGTTAGAAGAAGAAATGGGTTGTAGAAACTGGGACACGACTGTTCGTGAATGGCGAATGTCTACGACTATTAAAAAGTGGTGAGACTGAAAAATACCTGGATCATGGTCCTGATAAAAGCTGTTCAGGGGCAAAGATGAGTGTTGACTCCACTGAAATGTTGAGCAAAATGAAAATGCTGCGTTTACTTCGGGTATTTGTGCTAGAAATGCTTCGGGTATTTGTGCGAGATATGGGAATTTTCACCGTGTGGTCCACCAAGCCAGTACAGGATCATGCGTTTCCCTTGCGGGGGGTCCCAGAATGCTTCACCCTGTTCTTCCACATTCTCGGTATTGATCATTCAGCTTCGAAAAATCTGCGCGATGGCTCTCCTAAGTAGCTCGAGAGAATGAACACTCGTTGTTTATTATCCCAGTCTAATTTAATGGCTACTCTCAGACTGTTGGGAAAAAATTGATTGATTTGTGCGGTGGATCATGGGATCTAGTACTGGACGTCCTGAGTACCAAGCTTACACTGATCGCTGCAGTTTGTGGATGACTTCGTTGTCTTCCATGTCGCGTTTGATCTTATCGCACAGACCGACAATGTCGTTGAAGTACTCTTCCAGCGGTTCACTGCGCCTCTGCTTGCGGTTTCGCAGTTGCTGCTTCAGTTGGTTACGGTATACTTCTGTTTGGAACCGTTCAATGAGTGATTCCAGGAGCAGGTCAAAAGTGGCATTTGATTTCTTCGGCCTTCGCCGCTGAGTTTTCCCCAACAGGTGGCGGCGAAGCTGTCCAGGTACACTGAGATTTGGCGTAATCTTCTGGCTTCGTCACACTCCAATGCGGTCACAACTATCTTGAAACGTTTTGGTCAACATCTTCGCCAGCTTGTCCTTTAAACACCGGTGGCTTCGCGTGGGTTCCTACTGTCATGGTAGAGAATTCCTGTGCTAATGCCTTGGAACAGAATACGATGCAGCGCCCAGTGGAAACAGCTGCGCTGAAGATTTCCTTGCTGTCGGTGGTAGACATGCCGATTTAATGGGATTTATACGATGGATTAATCCGTAAACAATCCAAACAAACACCGTATGATAACAGGCATTAAATCCCGTGTTACTTTAATTATTATTATTTTTATTATTACTAATGGCCGCACTTCAATTTCTTCTACCGCTCCAGGAAGGTTTTATACGTGCACGTGTTTAAAACGATAATGAAACCAGGTGGCATATTTTTGAGATAGCAGCTAACAGATATTGCAACAGCGAAAGTGCCACAGTACCGTTTGGTTGATTGTGGGTTTTTCGCGAAAGGCAACTTAATAAATAGTACATAACAAGATAATTACGACAGACTGTGGATCGGCTGTCAACAACCGCGATTTTGCAGGTTATTTCTGTTTCAGCTGCAGGTGGTTCATTACATGCGTAAGTTGACCTTTGGCTTACAATGAATTTTGTCGTTTGCATGCGACTTAGATACTGAAACATCTTTGTTAGCTGACCAAACTCGTACGTGGCCCAGCGTTTGTCTGCACCCAAAAGCATAGTATAGGCTCTAAGGAAAGTAGTCTGTGCATACGGTAATAGTACATCTACGTAAAGTCTTTCTGTCAGCTATCGGGATTTTAACGCGGAAGCGCTGCAAATATTGCACGTACGGTATGCGTAATGCAGGCAATACCTACTATAACTATAATATGATAATAATTATAATATGAATGCGCAAGGGGTACGTTTCAGCTAGCACCCTGTCCCTGTTTGCAAGCAACTGGGCCACTTTAGGTATGGCCCGGGCGCTTCTAACCAGAATGAAATGAACAACAGTCAGTCCTCTTGTCTGCTTCGATGCCGATAGGTTATACAGACACTCTGCAGTGCGAGATAAATCTGACCCAAAAAATTTTGTGTTCGAACCACAACAATGTGCTTTATAATCATTTGAACGTTTGGAAATACAACTCCCACTTTCCTCTGCCCGTGTACGCTGACACAACAACTGTCTTTAACTGGATCGTTATGAACATATATCTGACAACCGTTTAGCTAACGAACAAGTTAGCCGGCCATGCTTCCAGTGACTGTACATTCACGTTTGGCAGAAAATAAAAAAATTAATGGGGCCGTTGCACATTTTGTTCCAGGTGACTGTGACTGGAAAAGGACATAACTAAACACAACAAAACCGAACGAGAACGACAGCTCCGAGTGAGATTTTGGACGAAAACCGAGCGGCACAACAGTAAACTACGCGGAAAGTCTCCTGACATAATCATATGTAGATAAACAAGATCGAAGAAAAACTATTACTTTTATGGTGTTGTTTTTGTGTTTAAGGAAATTACACAACATGTACTATTGTCCTACAAAAATTAAAGAACAACTTGGGTCTGATTATCGCTAGGTCAGGCACCCGGATGTCCGACCAGTTTCTCCAAACTATGCCGGCGCTCTTTACCACCATTTACATAACCAGCGAAAGGAAGAAACTGCCGACACGGTCGGCTTTCCCTGCTGTGCATCTGCGGACAGGCAAATGCGTTGTGAATAAGTTATGAAATAGCATAAACGAGATAACTGCAATAAATGCCGGACGGGCAATATCGTCAGACCTTTGTATCTCTCTTGAATGTTTGGTGCTTGATTGCTGTTAAATGTTCACAATTCTTTTTTAAAGAATTTTTGAGTAATTCCTTGCACGAGAGGATTAAATTACCCAAAGAATAAGAGGGCGGATAATTGCTAGAGCGCAGATTTGGACGACGTTACTTCGTTTTTTAAAAAAAAACATATAAATGGAAGCCAAAGATGCTTAGATAACCGACATCGATGACGGCGGTTGTTTTAAAAGAACACAGACTGTCTTTAGTTTGGACTCGAGGAATGTTTTTTTGTCATCGGTCCAAAAGGCGATTTTGAGCTGTTCTTTCCCTTACATGGGTACATTTAGTATAATACCTTTATCGTTTACTGTAACTTATATCGCCGCATTTTGAAGCATCTAGACGTTGTCGATGATTTCGGCGGTAGCGGTGGCGGGAACGAAAGTACCTTTGGAGTGTTACGATTAAACTGGTACTGGCCGGCAGGCCGCATCCAGAGAAAAAGAAAAACAGGACAAAGTTGCCAATCTCGTCCTGAAGTACATGGGTGGCAGCTACCTAATAGAGCTCGTGTCAGAATAGCTAATCCACTTCAAGAGAAAAAATAGCTAAATCATAACGAAAGCTCCATTCTAGTGCTATTCTAATTCTAGGCAGCCTTTTCTGGGACAGAACGGGCAAACCAGCAAGACGAATTTTGGATCCCTTTACCAGTGAGGGTTTTAACTTTCATACATATTAGTCGAACCCGCCCTCCGTTGCTGCGAGGAAACATCGTCCGTAAAGAGTCAACATTCTTGTTGAGCGGTTCACGGTGAATGCCGCTAACAACCATTGTTAAATGTTTTCCGACGAACGGGCGCCATAGAAGCAAACGCTTATCCATCACAGATGTCGCAACACGGTTAAAGTGCTAGTGGTGAATGGTGGCACGCGGAGATGGGGGTTTGATGTTGTCCATATATCCCATGATTTATCGGCGGCAAAGAAATTAGGCTGTTCAGGCTGTTCAGCCAAACTACTGAGAACGCAAACTTTTCGTGACGATGGAAGTCAGTAGCAAGTGAGATCACCTGCAATTGATCCCAGACTTGCAGGCGAACCCAGACTTGAAGGTGACGACTACCGCCTTCGGCAATTAATCAGCATGCTTAGCTGCTGCACCTTTTAGATACGCCACCGTTCATCCTGGTGTGTCAACATAATCAACTCCGTGTGGACGTGTATCCGCTTTTTCAGTATTAAATCTCACAGTGCCTTTCTGGCATTGGGCGCATCATGTTGACATTGCGAAAGAAGACTGCATTTCGCAGAATTCTTTACGAAATGCAGTCTTCTTTCTTCTTTCCGTCTATAGCGTCGGAAACAGTCATCGGCGAAGAGCATGTGAATACTTGCAAAATTTTTAGTCACTGCCTGATTCACGCATCTGTCCTCAGAGTGGCTGTCATGAAACACATCCGTCGGAAAGTGAACGCCATGGGAAGCTGCTGTATCGTGGTGGATTCTGCTAGATCCTGCAAATTTGACTACTTCACACCATCTGTCGTTGAAAATCTTACGTAGAAGAGACATGAATTGGCACTGCAGCAAAACGGAGTTAGACTGTACCGCAAACACTATCCTTTATAGACCCTTGTCTTACCCCGTATAACTCGGGATCAGTTTGTACAAAGTTTCGGATACGAAACGACAGCGGGGAACGCGCAAATATCTGCAAAATTTGGTAGTAAATATTTTGGCTCTGCACACGAGTTTAGTTGTGCATGGTTGTAACTTGTCTCAGCTTGTCTGTGATGAATTTAGTGCGTTGCGTTCTTACGGCCTTGTTTTTTTCATTCTGTGTCAGTTTTCTACCTGCTTGTTTGATAGATCGCCTAACTTCACCGTCTCTTCGCTGTTGATGCTCTTAGTCATGGTAAGGAGATCTGGATTTTTCGTGATCCGCTCCAACCATCCCATCACCACAACCACCTCCTCTCCCACCTCTCCATCGTCTACGGGGCCTCCATCGGCACCGGCGTCTGCTCCCCTGTTACTAAAGTTATTTTAGTAACTTTACAGGTTTAATGCCAAAACGGAACGTAGAATTCGGTCAAAAACCTCTTTTAATCGACTCAAATTTTCCTCAAAATTTCCCCAATACTGTTACTAAAATATCATCAAGATAATTCAGGCTAGTTCTCCAGTTAAAACCAGCCAAAATACCGTCTGCCAATCTTTGGAATGCCGCAGGGTTCGTCGAGATACTGATGCCATCTTTGCCGAAGGTCAGTGGGATGGATCTTCAACGGATCGGCATGATTTTGTAAGTGATTTTTAAAGTACTACTTATGTAATGATAATTTTTTCTGTAATCAATTTCTGATAGTATGAGCTTTCGACTAATTAAGCATAATGATCTACTAAACGCCAGTCGCAAACAATAAGCGTCTAGACATAAGAGGTTTATTTTTGTACCTGACCCTTTGTACTGAAAGGCCTACCGCCAGTAAAAACAATAGATTCCCAGACATAATCTTTTAGTTAACGACAGTCGCAAACAATAGGCGTCTAGACATAAGAGGTTTATTTTTGTGTCTGACCCTTTGTGTTGTGTAGAGGGGCTTCAACGCTGACGGTAACGAGTACATGGAAGTCGACGATGATTATATGGAGCAAGTTGGCGGAGCGGAGAACATAACGGTAACTCGTTTGGCATACATGTAGTTGTCAATATTGCAATATACTCATTGAACAGGAACGAATGGAAGCGGATGACTTGGAACATATGGATATTGACCGAGAGGAGGGTGAAGAAATGGACAAAGGAACTAACTCTATTTTATAGGTGAGTTGAAACAGCAAATTAAATGCTTATAAAATTGACTTTTAAAAGATGTTTTTGTTATTAAAAGGGCGCCAGCTGACATCTCGGATATTCCGGATTTCACCGGTTTATTCAGTCTGCACAAAGTCAAGGAGCATCGGTACAAAAATTTCAACAGCGACAGACACGAGTATCGTATACAATTTTCCCCCTTACCTCGTGTATACTCCAAGGAGTAGACAGTGCTACTCATGCCCTTACTGCTTGAGGCTGTGCTTAAGCTATGCTTGGGAAGTTTTAATCCCTCCGATCGATCAACATTTCCGTTCACTACAAGACACTGGATAACCCGATTTACTTGTCAATGCGAAAACTGTCGGATTTTAACATTGACGATCTCATTGCCGCGTTTAGGCCAAGGCCAATTCCGGACGTACTGTTCTCGACGAGACGTTTTCTGTACGTGATTTCCGTACCATCATGCCAAGCGGAGGAAGGTGGAAGTGCAAGCACCGTCACATTGAACGCGATGAAAGAAGCTTCAGCAAATCCACAGTGAATGTGCACGTCGGCGAGAATCTTTGTTTATCTGCTGCTTTGTACCTGGGCAAGTACCGTCTTATCAACGACGTTCAAAAACAGTTCAAGAGCTAATGGCAGCATCTGTACAGCAAGAAAGGTGTTAGAAAGCTGAAACGCCACGCGTACGAGACAGTTTAGCGTTGCGATTAACCCCCCCGGGACATTGTTACGACCTGGAACATTTGGTCGCCATGCAAGAAGAATGCTTCCCAAAGTATCAAATCAAGATTATCTCCGCAGATCACGGTAACGCTATAATTGCCCGTGTCCCGGAGAAGAAGACGCCGCAGATGCAGGTGATATATCTACGGTTGCAGAGAAAACACTTCGATTTAGTGACAACGGTTACCGGTCTCCACTGTTCGTCATATTATTACGCCACTTATGACAAGCCTTACAGCAATAAAGAGCGTGGTCGTTGCGATGAAAACTATTTATGTGTTTCCGCTCTGTGTCCGTTTGTGCACGTGGGGCTATTGTTCGCTGTCCGCGTTGCCGCCGCTGCTTCAACAATCAACAGTGTTTCATTAAACACAAAAAGGGTCGACGCAACGAAACAACGTCCTGCGACCAGATTTTTTATTGAAAAGATTGCCTCCATTTGGTAAACTTGACACGCCGCCCAAATGGAAAGAACCGATGCGGAGAAATGTATTGTGTAGTCTGCCGCGAATGGGTGCTCCAGGCTACCCACAAGTGCTTTATTAAGACTTCATCAAAGCAGCTGCCACTTCCGGCTGATGACTCAGCACCGCCCCAGAAGTACATTTTTTTCGACAACAAAACGTACAACGACCCTGTTTATGGACACACACCTGCCTGTGTTGTTGCCCAGTACGTCAACGGCACGGAATTCCGGTTTCCGGCGGACGGCCAGCCGATGACAAAAGAAGTCGGACACCAGTTCGGCGAATGGTTGTTTTCGGAGCAACACCGCAACCATACCATTGTCGCACATAATTTCCGGGGAAAAGACGGGCACTTCATCTTGAAGTATCTCATGGACAATAAGTTGAAGGGTGTGGAAGTAATCAAGCGAGTCAACGAGCTCCTGGAACTACGGTACCGCGGGTTAGCAATGACGTCACGGGATACGTTAAATTTCTTACAATGCGGCCCAGCAGTATGCCAACAGCTGTGGATCTAGAATTGAAGATGAAAAAGGGCGACTTCCCGCATCACTTGAATCATCCGAACAACTGGGACAAAAATTTTACCGTGGCTTGAACCGTGTAATACAGTGTCTACTAGTAATTGAGAATACGCGGATGATACTAAATAGCTTTAATGGTAAACGTACAGTCGGTGATGATCGTAGAGAGATAGCATCGAGATGATCGTAGAATGATGAGAGCATGAATTCTCGTATGAGAGAAACGGTAGCGTTTATATACGAGTAAAAGAGGTGAAGGTATTTAGGTATATAACACAAGAGGCTATGTAGATGTACAGACGTGACACGGAAATACATTCTCTATATGACATTCCCCTTCTTGAAGGAATCTCGTAGAGATTATGGTGGAATAGTGGGATCATGATGTGTGTAGAATGAATTTCACTTTCGCTGGCGCAGGTTGTAGCGTGGTGGTTGCGGTGCGCTTTCACTTTCAGCTGGCTGATCTTGTTCCGCCTGGGGCTGTTCTGTTTGTTGCACGTTCACTTCTTCGTCGGCATGGTTGTACCAAGGCTTAAGTTGCGAAACATGCACAGGGTCGATCTTACGCCGTCCGTTAACATTGGCAATCTTGTAATTGACATTGCTGACTTTCTCTAATATTTTATACGGTCCATGCCAGTTCTTAAGTAATTTGGTTGTCAATCTTCCTTCTGTTTTCCTGATCGCGCCGGTCTTGTCAACAACTCGAGGCACATTCCAACGGTAAACGAGACTACCGATTGGATAATCAACGGTCGTTCGATGCTGATTATAAAGTGGTGCATTTTGATCGAAAGCAGCATTGCAGCGGAGTTTTGCGATTTCTTGAGCGTCGCGGAGAAAAATTTGAGTTTCTTTAATGTATTGATCCATATCGTTTATTATTTGTCGCTCAGTGGCACCAGTGGCAACGTCGAGAGGAGTTGTGGCTTTTCTTCCGTATAAGAGTTCAAATGGGGAAAATTTTGTTGTTTTGCTGAGTGAGGTGTTGATGGCGTGAGTGACGAAAGGTATGAACTGGTCCCATCTGTTATGCTGATCCACATATTTTGAAAGGCTTTGGGCAATCGTCTGATTTGCGCGCTCTGTTAATCCATTCGACTGGGGGTGATAAGCTGTTGTGAACCGTTGTTCACAATTGACTAGCTTAGTCAACTGGGATAACAGCTCATTGCAGAAGTGCGTACCCCGGTCGGAAACGATAAAAGACGGGACTCCGTGTCGTAAAATCACATTTTCCATGAGGAATTTTGCTGCATTTTCGGCGGTGGCACTGCGAACCGGTTTGGTTTCGATCCACTTTGTTAGATGATCGATCGCGACCAGTAAATACTGATTGCCTTTTATTGATGTTGTAAAGGGTCCCTGGTAGTCAATCCCGATGGTATGTAACGGCCCGTGGACTTTAATCGGTTGCAAATATCCGGATGGTTTCCCGTTTGGCGGCTTTTTAACGTTGCATGGAATACAGGATGCGAGGTGTCGGGATACGGATTCAATCATTCCAGGCCAGTAATAACGATCTTGTAAATTGTAGTATGTTTTTTCTTGGCCAAAATGGCCGGAAAGGTCATGCGCGTTTTTAAGAACTTCGGCATGCATAGTTTTCGGTACGACCAGTAGAAAAGTCATTTTGTCGTTGCGGTAGGCGATTCGGTAGAGAAGATCTGAAATGAGGGTAAATCGCACACGGCGATAACGATACGCTTGAGTGTGAGTAGGCCCTTTGAGGATGTTGATTATTCTTTGACAGAATGGATCGTTCATTTGTTCTTTCTTGAGATTGATTGTGGTGATGTTGAATAGTGGCGTTGAGAATTGTTGACCTTTAGGGGTAATTTGACAGTCAAAAGGATATCTAGAGAGGCAGTCCGCAACTACATTTTCTTTTCCGGGTCTGTAACCGATCGTAAAATTGTACTGGCGTAGCCGCAAAATCCATCTGGCATGTCGTCCGGTAGGGTTTTGGCGTTTATCAGGCCTTTCAAAGCGTTGTGGTCAGTAATGACCTCGAACGGTCGGTTAGGGTCACCGATGTAGAGGCGAAATTTGTCCAAGGCCCACACAACGGCCAGAAGTTCTTGTTCTGTCGCACTGTAATTTTTCTCAGATTTGGACAAAGATTGACTCGCATAGGCGACGACGCGCTTGGTTCCGTCGGGTTCCATCTGGTGGAGAACGGCGCCCATTCCAAGTCCGGAAGCGTCCGTTTCGATTACATGTGGTAAGTCTCGATCGAAGTGAGCCAGTAACGGGTTGGACGTGAGGCAGTTCTTCAGTTCTTGGAAAATTTTCTCGTGCTCGGAGGTCCATAAGTACGGCGTTTCTTTGCAAGTCAGGATGTGAAGAGGAGCGGAGCGCGTCGCAAGGTCACGGATGAATTTACCATAGTAACCAACCATTCCCAGGAAAGATCGTAACTGTTTCTTGTTCATCGGAGCTTCGAGTTTAGTGATCGCTTCAACCTTCTTTGGATTAGGATTGATGCCGTCGGGATTTACTACGTGTCCCAAGAAGTCAATTTGTGTATGTCTAAATGTACACTTTGAGGGTTTTAGCTTCAGGTCCGATTCGGAAAGTCTACGTAGAACTTCTTCCAGGTGAGCGAGATGCTCTTCGAAGGTTTTGCTGAATACGTTAATGTCGTCCAAGTAGAAAATAACAAATTTGTACGTAATTCCATTGAAAATTTTAGTCATCATTCTCATAAAGGTTGCGGGAGCGTTCGTTAAGCCGAACGGCATTACCTCGAAGCGGTACTGATTTGAGGGTGTTAGGAAGGCGGTTTTATCTTTCGACTCCTCATCCATCGGAACTTGAAGGTATCCTTGGACCATGTCTAATCCGGAAAAGTACTTTGCTCCTCGAGGGACGTCCAGGCAGTCGTCTATTCGAGGGAGCGGATACTTGTCTTTTATCGTCGAAGCGTTTAGGTCCCGGTAGTCAACGCATGTCCTTATCCCATTCTTCTGTTGAACTAGGACCAAATTCGCTGCATAGTTTGACTGACAGGGTTTGATAATGCCGAGTTTTATCCAATCTTCAATCTGCTTGTCCATGGCTTCTTTTTCCCATTGCGAGTATCTGCGTAGGTTTCTTGCTGTCGGAGGATTCGTGCCGGTGTTAATCGTGTGTTTGATGCAGTTGGCTCGTCCCATAGGTTTGTCTTTCGTAGGGAACACGTGTCGATACTTGTACAGTAGTTTCAATAATGCCGCTCTCTGGTCAGTGGTCAGCTCTGGGCCCAGCTGTAACGTCTCTTTAAATTCTTCGAACGATGGGT